CCAGATGCATGGACGCGTTTGGAAAATAAGAAAATATCTTACATAAAGAACAGAGACGGCATTATGATCTTTCAAAATGAAAGGAGGCAATATTGGGATTAATTCAAATGGAATGTAGTATTTCGATGTATCTTTTATTTAATTCAGCTTTGATTCAACTCATATATCGACCAACTTCTACTCGATCGTCGATTCAGAAGACTGCAAGGTCTTACATATTGAACGATATTTAACGATATTTGAAAACAACATTTAGAGCAGTTAGTTCCGTGAAAATATCAAACAAAATGATTGGTCTTTACCTATTGAATATGAGAGGAGAAATCAGCGCGGCGAGGGAGAACATACACGCACACACAAAACCATCGACTAAATTTGTCAGTACATTATCATTATCAGAACACATACCCACATCAAATTTATATAGACTCTTTGCGAGCGGTTTTATCGGAATTAATCGTGAAGTTCCCTTCGCCTGTGTGTAAATTTTAAAAAAACGCCACCGGGTGAGGGAAAAGAAGGGATTAAAGGGAAAATGCGATGTAAGGTTTTGACGTGGCATCACCAAGTTAAATAATTGTCAAGGACCTGGAGGGTTTGGAGTAGGTCTACTCATGATGGACATGCTAGATATTTGGATACACCTGATATGGTAGACTTTTTTCTCTCTCTTTAAAAAGTTTGTTCTTTAACCCCCCCCCCCCCCCCCCCCCCCCTCCTCTCTGGAACGCCGGCATTTGCTAGAAATAACATGGTTCGCTTTTTATAAATATAATTTCATTAACTCGTGACGGATAAATTGATCGTATTTTAGATGTAAAAGCTATTTGATTGAAGTAGAAAATTCTATCGTCGATTTGGTCTTGGACTTGGAGTAATGAAGCTCACAAAGAAATACACATTCAACTTGTGAGTTACCGTAACTAACTACCTTTGAAAATATTGGTTAAGAATGGATCGTGATTATTGGCACCAAGAACCACTGTCCACACCAAGTGTATATATTTGACAAGAGGTGCACAATAGATACATGATAATTCATGATAATTATTTGAAAGAAGGGACTATTGCGGTCACTGTATTATTGAATCAACGAAAAAGGAATAGTAATTTTGGAAGTATAAATAAAACTGGAAACAAAAATTCGTCCTAAAATGAAATACTAACATGAATTTTCCATCGAAAACAGCATAAATAATTTATCATCTCTTGATGTCAAAATATTATTACGAAACCATAAATATAGCATAGTATTACCTTGAGTGTGTTGTAAAAACTGGTGGATGAAATAATATCTAGTTCTTGTATTCGACAGGTCACATCAGCAATGATCGGAATAATTCAATCGCATGGAGTGTGAAACGATTTTGAAAGTCTCGAGGCTGCATAACAAACGAGGCGGTGCACAATGGGTATATTCCCCAGTATACTTCAGTATTTTATTTATAGAAATTTGTTTATTTAAAGTAGCGTTGCGTCAAAATGACGAGCACATAATGGGGTTCATATTTATGAAGAAACATGCCGCGAAAAAATCCAATGCCATGACCTTAGTTAAGAGGTGTGTTTAATCACGGGTCCATGGACATGCCTCAGTCGTGGGTTGGATTTCCAAATGAATATTGCGCAATATTATGTACTGAACTTTATTAAAGGTACTAAATGTCCCATTTGCAGGCCAAAAATGAAAAGATTAAATTCCAACGGCATTTAAAAGATAATGCTAATTTAGATCTTCCCTCAAAACGAAAGGGCTTGAAAATGTCTTTAAGTGGGAAAATAACGACCATTAGTTGTCGAATCGACTTTAGTGATTGCAATCACTAAAGTAATATTCTGTTTTTTGGACCCTTGTACCGAATGGTAGTACGTTTTGAGATTCAATCAGTTCAATTAGGGCCATTACAAGAATTGGGTTATTGATGTAAACAAACGCTCATGTACCATTTACAGCTCATTTTAAGTATTTTATATCCGTAGAAAAAAAAGTCAGTCACTCAATAGTGTCTGGCAGTGAATTCTAGAAAGTAAACAGGTTTCCTTGCATAATTTGAATATTAGGACACTGCTCACGTTTACATTTCACAGACATACGTGTCATATTCATAATTCCTGCAAAGTTCTACAGAATTTGATGTTGGCTGCAAATGGGACATAGTACCTTTAAAGTACATTTACATAATACATTTTAATGAATTATGACGAGACAAAATGTGTCAAGTCCAAAGTGCAATCATGACTTTTGTTATACAGGTATTAAACTATATTTTGAAAGAAACTGACTAGAATCACTTTGAATCGTTCATCGTGCACAAATTGGTTATTTTGACAAGTAAATGCTACAAAAAGAACCTGGTGAATTTGTGTTATCTTAAACACTGTGGCGTATCTGAAGGCTATCCGCTTTACCCCCCCCCCCCCCATCCCCCATCCCCTAACTGAAGGCACAGGACAGAGTTGATGCAACGGGGTGGGGGTGGACTGAATGATTCCACCCCTTGTTTTGATTATGCTCAAGATCAGTGGCGGATCCGAAGGAATTCTCTGGTGGGATAAACGTTCCACAATAAAGGGGGGGGGGGGGGGTAATCGTCAGCTTGTTCCCAAACCTACATGTATGTGACAAGCAAACCACTAAAAAGAAAGGCTATCAGAAAGAAAGAAAAAAATGATAAGTGCCCCTAGCTGCAGGTAGATCAGAGTTGGTCTAGCATAAGAATAATAGAAAACAGAGAATAAATAAGAAAACAAAATCCATCGACGAACTGACTGAGAATGTTGAATTTCGATGGATATTGTAAAGCGAGCGCCATGAGCCTTCAACAAAGACGGATACCAGCGCTCTAAGAAGAAATCGTGATCAATATCATGGCCATCATCTTCATTATAAACATCATCATCATAATTATCTTTACCATCATCATTATTAATATCATCATCATCATCAGCGCCATTATCGTCATCATCGTCTTCGTCAAAACCATCGTCATCATAAACATCATCATTACCATGAAGTCCATGATCATAATTGATATCGGCAGCATTAGCGGCAGCATCATCATCATTCCCATCGTTATTATCATCGTCACCATAACCATCATTAACAAAATCATAATCGTCATCTTCATCATCAACATCATTTCCCGATGGTATTTGATCTCTAAGCACCAAGAGAACATTGAAAGAGACAAAACACAAATAAAGAGAAATATTAGATAGCAAGGCCATAATATATCCTGCTTATTCTTTATGTATTTTTATAGAAATACAAATATTCATAGACAAATAAAGGTAATAGCTATTAATACCTGAACAGTAGCATTGGTAAACGAACTAAACCATTTAATTACAGACTCAAGATGAACAAAGTGATGAATTTATGAAACTTAAAGTTCTCTAAAAAAATCCTACATTTTGATGTTTTGTACCTATTAGCTTATGTTTGAATAATACAACACAGAGATTACAGCCACTATAGTCGAGACGAAATCCGCTAAATTTGAACAGAAATGTACAGCTAGAACTATTTTGTCATATTTACAATGATGACCGAGATATACAACCCATTCTAAGATATTTTTTTTAATGACAAATTAAACAGCCTTCATAATAGTTACGGGTATTGAGACAAAGTAGAAATGATGACTAACGGTACTTTCATTACATGAAAGAGAGAAACATTTCAGAAACTTAAGCAAAAGTCGCCGTTTTTTTCTTTCTTTTCTTAACTTTAAATCCAAATTTCTGGTGAACTTTTGAAAACCATGACTAAAACAAACGAAAACAAATAAATAGAAATACTAAAATAATTACAGAAGGAATAGATTAGATTAGGCGTATTGAACTTTTGAAAGTTAATGATGTCATTTTACAATCACACTATTTGGTTTTAAAAAAGAAAGAAAAACAATACGCCTGTGGTTAGGGGAAATAAATAAATGCGCTATTAAAAAGGTTACATGCAGAGTCACAGTAAATGCATAAAAAGACGGCGTTGCTTTTTGAACAAAATTAATGTAATGATGCACATGACTGAACAGAAAGTGGAAGTTTGTTATACAACAGCCTATATCCAGTGAGTGCCTGTGGGACAAACAAATTAACCGCGTACCGTGTCATATCAAAGACTGGTCGTCGAGTAACGAGACGGTTTAAATAGTTTGGAGCTTGTTTATGCAAAAAAAATTAAAAAAAGTAGAACGCAAAATTTATATTTTACCCTTACTTCCTTGCAGAGCAATAATTTATTTAGGAATGCTGTAAAATCGAGAGACAGAATTTAACGAATCTACATTAAAAATCAGTGGAATGTTTTTATTTTGAATTCTTTGTAATCTAATGGGATTAGTTTTTCAGTAGATTCCCCAATAAGCACAAAAATAATCGATGTGAGGCAAAAAGAGTGAGAAATAAAGGCTGATAATTGTTCTACGAGTTAAATAAGGCTTAATTCTCCGGATAATCCCAATTACACGAGATATTTTACAAAATACACTACTGACATTTTTAGACCAATTTAAACATGGATCCAAAATAAATCCTAGATATTTAAATTCTTCAATAAAGTCAATTTTTATGCCATTATATTCAATTTCCAGTTTACGTTTTCCTATTTTTTTTTCTTTTTCTTTTTAATTTTAAGATCATTAACATTTTTAGTTTTATAGAATAATACGTTATCATCAGCATACAATGAAATTTTAACATTATCAGACAATTCAATACTGCACAAATAATCAATGTATATACAGATATATTCCATAAGAATTTAAAAGAGCTATGGCATTCCAGGACCATGGTCCTGTTTTCATGATTTTTTTTCTCGAGGTCACATCTCATCAAACTGGGTTTCACAGGACGAACATTTTGTTAAACATCAAATTTGAGAAAAAGCTTAGGCATTCTAAGATCAATTATGTCCTCATGATTTCATCCGAAATCAAAATTGCCTTCCAAATATGAAATATCTGAAGCATTCCAAGACTATTTTCCTCATTTTCTCTAACAATCCAACATAAAACACGGGCTTGAAAGAACGACGGCCATGTTGGACATCAAGTCGTCTTTTTCGACCTCGACTGACTTATCTCTCCAAGCAGTTCCTGCCCTCTCCATATCTGCACCTTTCGCAACGGGCACTGTCGTGTGGTGGTCGTCCAAGAGGTCTACGACGTCTTCCCTCATTAAAGACAGTCCTGTCATTTGAATTCCGATTTCGGAAGTATCTTTCCCTGTCATTGAGATGAAAAAGATCAGAATTAACTGATTTTATGGTGGTAAAAAAAGGTCAAAAAAAACGTTTATTATTATTATTATTGTTATTATTAATACATGTATTATTATTATATATATATATATATATTTTTTTATACAAGTTCATCTTTTCCTCAATGCTTTTCTTGTATGTCATCTTCTGTAGATACTCTAATGACAGAAAGCGAAGTCCATTTAGGGGCGAGTCATTATGAAGGATCACTTTATTAGGGAGTGAAAATACACGCAAACTATATGACTCCACTCTCAAAAGAGGAATTCAACCAGTACTTTGGGGTGTTTTCCACTGCACTTGGTACACCTTCCTGTTAAAGCTCGTGTATTATACTTATTACAGTCTTAATGACCACCTGTATAAAAAGACCACCTGTCTATGTAACGACCACATTTCTGCTTCCCTTTATGCTATGCTGCTCATGCATTGAAACGTGTGTTCAAGAAATGCCGTGTTTAAAGACCACCTGCCCATAAAGACCACCTTTGTGTCTTCCTACTCAGGTTTCACCCAAATTCGTGTACACGTACTGTTTAAAGGCTTTTTCAATGGCTTTTTCAACCATCTCCGTGAACTCTCCCTCACTAAATGATGGAACACTTTCTTCTTCGCACCAGTTGCATAGCTGTTTGTAGATCTGTAAACATCAAACAAAAAGTAATGATGTAAACACGATCGCAAAATATCGAGAAATCAGCTCAAATTCATTAGGATTACGTTATACCTCATTACAAAATATTCATTACTAATACATGACTTTTGTTATCATTATTATTAGTAGTAGTGGTAGTGGTTGTAGTGGAGGTAGTGGTAGTAATAATAATGATAGGAGTCATAGGCGCTTGAAGTGGGAGGAAGGGCAAGGAGGCAGTCGCCCCTAAACGAAAAAGGAGAAAGTGGGGGGGGGGGGGGGGCAAAACGCATTTTGGCCCATCCCCCAAAGCCCCCCCCCCCCCGAAAAAAAAATCAACAGTAAAGGAATAAAAATGGTTTGTATATTTTAACCAAAAATAAAATAAAAAATAATAAAACCTGAATTGAATCACATACGAATTATATTTCATTAACAAAAAAAATAGAGTAAACAGGAATTAAATTTACTAAACATTCCGCATGCCCCTATATTTATAAATGGAGGATTTTAGAATAGCAATACGCGCATATTGTGGAAATATTATGAGAGGATGAGAAAGCGTGTGTGTTTTTAATTATAAGGGTGAGATGACATGAGTCCCTGAACACTGGCGTACTGATGGAGGGGGGGGGGGGCAGTTGCCAACCACATACAATTCAAACGTGGTTTATTTCTAATTCGATACCAGTAATTTACAAATGTTGCTGAAATGACATGATTTTCCGGGATTTTTTCTCAATTTCTTTTGCGAAATTATTATTTTTTAAGCGTTTATTGGAAAATTACAAATTGAGTCAAGCTTGAGCCCCCCTCACTTTTTTGATAAAGTATGTTAAAGAGAAAAAATAAGAGAGAAGGAAATGCGTGTTAAAGTATGCTCATCTCACCGTAATTAAATACCTAAAACCCCTGAGCTTACGGGGGCTCCGCCCTGGACCCCCCCCAAAGGCTTCAAGGGGGGTCCATGGAAGCTCATCTGATCACAATTAAATGCCTAAAACCCCTGAGCTTACGGGGGCTCCGCCCCCTGGACCCCACCAATGGCTTCAAGGAGGGCCCCTGGATGCTCATCTGATCACAATTACATGCTTAAAACCCCCTGAGCTTTACGGGGCTCAGATCCCTGGACCCCACGCCAATTATTGACCTGCCAGAGTCACAAATAAGGTAGAAAAATATGCTTAACTGACCGTTATTTAATGCCTAAAACCCCTGATAGCTTCCGCGGGCTACGCCCCTGCACCCCACGCCACTTTATGCTCCACTTGTGGGAGTGTCGTTGCCGAGTGGTCTAAGGCGCTTGGCTGGTCTGAGATGCGAAGGCCGAGGGTTCGAATCCCGACACGGCACTAATTTCTTTTGGCAAGATATTAACCTGCGCTTCTCTCTATCCAGGTGTTAAATGGGTACCCGGTAGGATGCGACCGTCATTGTTGATCAAACAGTTTTTGAGCGTCAAGTCACACCTGGCTGGAATGCTCCCCAGGCCCAGGGAGTGGATATTGTGCACACAGTGTGTGCGGGCAAGCAGTGAATCCAATGACCGGGGTAATAGTATATCTGTAAAACTGTTATGGACATTGTATTAAGAGCTATTTAAAAGCGGAATATTAGTATATTAAATCTTACCCAGAGATGCTAAATGGCACCACGACAGAATTTCTTTGTCATGTTATTCATTTGTGAGAAAAGGGCAATTTCAAGGAAATGTTCCTGCCCCTCCAACAGGATTTTGAAGCTAATATTGTTCTGATACTTCCACATGTGGGAAAACTCTGAATATCGACTCGTGGTTGGGTGGGGGTCATGTTGTTCAACTTTAAACTGCACTCAATGCTCACCTTAACCACCTCTTGTTCTTTGAGATCGATGACAACGTGCCCTCTGTAAGTATTCCATGTTCTGTTGCAGTTCTCACATGTATTATAACCATATCCCCTCACTCCTTGTATTCGAGTTCGATTGGGTATATGTCTCGGATACAGCTCTTCCTCAGACATCACTTCTACTATGATATCATTGTAGTCCTCAAAGTCATCGTAGTCCTCAAAGTCATCGTAGTCCTCAAAGTCATCGTAGTACTCAAAGTCATCCATGGCCCCAAAGGCGGCAGTACTATATGAATATGATAAAAGTTGTTGATGAATTATACTGGAGTGCAATGATCATTATCAACGAGTGCCGTACTCTCTTCACACAGAGGAGTGGAAATCCACTCTTTTAGTATTAATATCAGGGATTACTTCATTTTGAGATTGAATCCACTCAAAATATAGTGGAATCCATTCCAAAGTAGAGGTTTGAACTACTCCGAGTGGATTCCATCTTGGATTTTCACTCCAAAACGAAATGACCCTTGTATTAAGAGTGAATTTCCACTCCTAGACATTTAGAGAGCACTTACAAATACTCACTTTAGTAATCATTAGGTATGATGATAGCTTCCCTTTCCTATAACTAGTGAATTACTATGATTGATGTTTAGGTATTTAAACAGAATGTAGTAGTGGTATAAAAAAAATATTACTCACGTAAATGCGTTCATTATAAAACACAAATACTCTTTTTTCTTTTTTCGTCATCATTATCTAAGTTAATTAGCCAGAGTTGATCAGACAAGTAATTCCTAACTCGTATTTGCCATCCGGTTGAAAAATTCCACCGCGCGTCAATGTAAAAATGCGTGTTGTATCTGGGCTAATTGCCCTAGAAAGTGCCGTGTAAGCTAATTTTCAACTCGAAAGGTACCTAAGGAGAAAACAAATCAAAAAAGTAGACAAATTTGGCATCTACAGCAAGATATATTCGAGGAGATTATGAGCTCGTGAAATGGAGAGTGTGTGTAAAAGCCTATACCTGATTGTGCGCCCTTTTGTGGTGCGTTTTGAATACGCTCGGCCTCTATGGAGATGTCCCTTAACTTATTGTAATGTCAAATGGAATGTAGTATTTCGATATACATTTTATTTAATTTAGCTTTGATTCAACTCATATATCAACCAACTTCTACTCGATCGTCGAGTCAGAAGACTGCAAGGTCTTACATATTAAACGACATGACGTGAAAATATTAAACAAATTATTGGTATCTCTTTGCTCTTGCAGTTGAAAATGAGAGGAGAAATCAGCGCGACGAGCAAGATTATACCCATACACGTACACACAACACCCATCGACTAAGTTGTCAGTGCATTATCATTAGGGACTTTTAGATTCGCACGAAGACAATGGGGATTGATTGCTACGGTCGACGTCCTTTTAATGCACTGCCTTGAATGGACGTCACACGTATCAGTCCACGCAAATCTAAAAGTCCCTATTAACAGAACAGAACACATACCCACATCAATTTATAAAGACTCTTTGTGAGCGGTTTGATCGGAACTAATCGAGAAGTTCCCTTCGCCTGCGTGTAAATTGAAAAAAAATGCCACCGGGTGAGGGAAAAGAAGGGATTAAAGGGAAACTGCGATGTAATGTTTTGACGTGGCGTCACCAAGTTAAATAATTTTCCAGGACCTCTAACTTGAGGGTGGGGGAGTATAGGTCTACGCAGTAAGATGGTAGACGTTCTTTTTTTCTCTTTAATAAAAAATTATTCTTTCGCTCCCCCCCCCTCCCCCCCCCCCCCCCCCCCCTCTGGAACGCCTGCATTTGCTAGAAATAACATGATTCGCTTTTTTTTTTTTAATACAAATATAATTTCATTAATCTTTAATATAATAAATTTAAATAAAGATAAATTTAATTCTATCGCATGAAGCTCACAAAGAAATACACATTGCCACTTGTGAGTTATCGTGACCAGTGGCGTAGACAGGTTCGTACACATGGGGGGATGACTCAGGGGCGGATCTAGCTTTTTGCTAAGGAGGAGGGTTGACCAATAATGACGATGCGGAGCATCGTCCACGAGCCGCAAAGCGGCGAGCCGATTTTTTTTTGGGGTGTTTATTTGAACCCCGTAAGTGATGTTTTCCTGGCATCTATTAACACAATGGAGACCATAAAAAGCAGTGCATGATAACGTCTTTTTAAATCAAGTAACAGTTAAATACACAGTTATATCCAGAGTTATCATGTGTTTGGTTAAGTTACCAGATGAGTTGAATATCTTCTCACAATATTTGCACTTGAAAGGGTTTCTCTCCAGCGTGCGTTCTTTTTTCTTTCTTTTCTTCTTTTTTTTCTTCTTTTTTCCCCCTTTTTTTGTTGTTTGTTTTTTGGGCCGCCCAAGGGGGGGTTTAAACACCCTAAACCCCTCCCCCTGGAGAGAACCGCGCCTGTTTAATCTTGTGGTTATCTTGTGGTTTCCAAACCACAAGATAACCACAAAATACTTGTAAGATTTTCTTTTTTTACCGTCTGAATTGGCTTTCACCGTGTGAATGCGGCTAATAACAATAAACATAATTACAATAATGATGAGGATTATTATTATCATCATCATAATTATTATTATTATTAATATTATAATTGTTATCATTATTATTATTACTATTATTATCATCATTATGACTTATTAAGTAAGCAAATATCATTCCCCAAAACCTGGGGGGATGATTGTACATGCCATCCCCCCACCTTGTGAGGTGAGGGGATGCATCCCCCTCATCCCCCCGTTGTCTACGCCCCTGATCGTGACTAACGTTATGTACTATCTTTGAAAATATTGGTTAAGAATGGATCGTGATTATTGGCACCAAGAACTAAGTATATTAAGATATGCACAGTAGACACATAATAATTCATGATAGTTATTTGAAACAAGGAACTGTTGTGGTATCTGTATTATTGAATCAACGAAAAAGGATTAGTCATTTAGAAAGCATAAATACAACTGGAAACAAAAATTCGTCCTAAAATGAAATACCTACATGAATTTTACATCGAAAACAGCATAAATAATTTATCATCTCTTGATGTCAAAATATTATTACGAAACCATAAATATAGCATAGTATTACCTTGAGTGTGATGTAAAAACTGGTGGATGAAATGATATCCAGCTCTTGTATTCGACAGGTCACATCAGCAATGATCAGAATAATTCAATCGCATGGAGTGTGATACGATTAAGAAGGTCTCGAGACTGCATAGCAAACGAGGCGGTGCACAATGGGTATATTCCCCGGTAAACGCCTTTATACTTCAGTATTTTGTTTATAGAAATTTGTTTATTTACAGTAGCATTGCGTCAAAATGACGAGCACATAATGGGGATTTCCAAATGAATATTGCGCAATATTATGTACTGAACTTTATTAAAGGTACTATATGTCCCATTTGCAGGCCAAAAAATGAAAAGATTAAATTCCAACGGTATTTAAAAGATAATGCTAATTTAGATCTTCCCTCAAAATGAAAGGGCTTGAAAATGTCTTTAAGTGGGAAAATAACGACCATTAGTTGTCGAATCGACTTTAGTGATTGCAATCACTAAAGTAATATTCTGTTTTTTGGACCCTTGTACCAAATGGTAGTACGTTTTGAGATTCAATCAGTTCAATTTGGGCCATTACAAGAATTGGGTTATTGATGTAAACAACCGCTCATGTACCATTTACAGCTCATTTTAAGTATTTTATATCCGTAGAAAGAAAAGTCAGTCACTCAATAGTGTCTGGCAGTGAATTCCAGAAAGTAAACAGGTTTCCTTGCATAATTTGAATATTAGGACACTGCTCACGTTTACATTTCACAGACATACGTGTCATATTCATAATTCCTGCAAAGTTCTACAGAATTTGATGTTGGCTGCAAATGGGACATAGTACCTTTAAAGTACATTTACATAATACATTTTAATGAATTATGACGAGACAAAATGTGTCAAGTCCAAAGTGCAATCATGACTTTTGTTATACAGGTATTGAACTATATTTTGAAAGAAACTGACTAGAATCACTTTGAATCGTTCATCGTGCACAAATTGGTTATTTTGATAAGTAAATGCTACAAAAAGAACCTGGTGAATTGGTGTTATCTTAAACACTGTGGCGTATCTGAAGGCTATCCGATGTATCCCCCCCCCCCCCCCTCCCATCCCCCATCCCCTAACTGAAGGCACAGGACAGAGTTGATGCAACGGGGTGGGGGTGGACTAAATGATTACACCCCTTGTTTTGATTATGCTCAAGATCAGTGGCGGATCCAAAGGAATTCTCTGGTGGGATAAACGTTCCACAATAAAGGGGGGGGGGGGGGTAATCGTCAGCTTGTTCCCAAAACTACATGTATGTGACAAGCAAAAACCACTAAAAAGAAAGGCTATCAGAAAGAAAGAAAAAAATGATAAGTGCCCCCTAGCTGCAGATAGATCAGAGTTGGTCTAGCATAAGAATAATAGAAAACAGCGAATAAATAAGAAAACAAAATCCATCGACGCACTGACTGAGAATGTTGAATTTCGATGGATATTGTAAAGCAAGCGCCATGAGCCTTCAACAAAGGCGGATACCAGCGCTCTAAGAAGAAATCGTGATCAATATCATGTCCATCATCCTTATTATAAACATCATATCATCATCATTATCATTACCATCATCATTATCAATATCATCATCATCAGCGCCATTATTGCCATCTTCGTCTTCGTCATAACCATCATCATCATAAACATCATCATAATATCATCATTACCATGAAGTCCATGATCATAATCGATATCAGCATCAGCGGCAGCATCGTCATTATCCCCGTTATTATCATCGTCACCATAACCATCATTAACAAAATCGTAATCGTCATCTTCATCATCAACATCATTTCCTGATGGTATTTAATCTATAAGCATCAAGAGAACATTGATACAGACAAAACACAAATAAAGAGAAATAATAGATAGCAAAGCCATAATATATCCTGCTTACTCTTTATGTAATTTTAAAGAAATAAAGGTATTTATAGACAAATAAAGTTAAAAAGCTATTAATACCCGAACTAAACCATTTCATCACATACTCAAGATGAATAAAGTGATGATATTTATGAAGCTGAAAGTTCTTTCAAAAAGTCCTACATTTTGATGTTTATTACCTTTTAGCTTATGTTTGAATAATCCAACACAGAGTTTACAGCCACACTTACTCAAATCGAGACAATACCTCACTATTATCTTACAAAATTATTTCATTATTTTGCCTTGTCGCTGCTAAAAACTGTAATTTAAATTTGAACAAATATATACGGCTAATAATAATAATAAATAATAAAAACGTTACTTATAAAGCGCTTACCACCGAAGTCTCTAAGCGCTATAACACACAAAATAGACTGATAAACAATACATATTAAACACAACTAAGAAGTGCAAATAAATCCATAAATTACAATACATATGGAATATACATCACTGGCGTACTGGTGGGGAGGGGGGGGGGGGCTTGGGGGGCGCCAGCCCCCCCCCCCCCCCAATGAAATCAACCATGACTTTTTTTCAAAATTCCATACAAGTGATTTATAAATGTTCGTAATATCACATGATTTTCAATAAAAATTAATGCGCGTTTCTCCATTTTTGTTGCAAACTGACACATTCACAAATAGCCCCAGGAAGAGCATATGTTTTTGTTATAGTCAATAATGGGCCACTGACAGTAAACTAGTAGAAACTTCCTTAAAGGCCCGGTCACACAGGGAGGACGCATGGGGAACGCACGGCCAGCGCATTGGAAATTTGCAATTTGGGCCAGTGCGTTGTCGTTCGCTAGGCGTGCGTCATCATTCGTTACTCGTTCGTCGAGCGCGCTGGACCAACGCTGGACCAGCGCTATGCATGCGTCGTCATTCGCTGTGTGCGTCGGGATTTTTTGAGCATGCTCAAAAACGTGCGCCGAGCTCGACGCATGAATATACACGCCAAAGGCACGCCAGACATGCGCCGGAGCGCGCTAGACCAGCGCCAGACATGCGTGGAGCGCGCTAGACCAGCGCCAGACAAACGCGGAGCACACGCCCTGTATATGCACAGCGCGCTAGCTACACGCCGTGCATTTTGTGTCAGCTCGCTAGCTTTTCCAAAATTATGACAAAAGTTAGGCACACGTTCTTTTCCGATTTCCAATGCGCTGGCCGTGCGTCGTAGAACGCGGTGCATGCGTGGACCATTCGTCCAGCGCGCTAGCAACACGCTGTGCATTCGTGGAAGTTGTTTTCATGTGCGCTCTGTGTGCGCCCTGTGTGCGCCCTGTGTGCGCCCTGTGTGCGCCCTGTATGCGCCCTGTATACGCCCTGTATGCGTCCAGCGCGCTATGCATTTGGTGTCAGCTAGCTGTATAGCTTCGACAAAAGTTGGGCGCACGACAACGCACTGGCCAAAATTGCAAATTTTCCATGCGCCGGCCGTGCGTCCCCCATGCGTCCCTTCTGTGTGACCGGGCCTTTACAGAGGCTTATGTGAGAAGCACTACCCTCCACTCGGGATGTGCTAGTCCAGCCTCTGTACCGTTTTCGTTTAGCGCACCCAATCAGCTGATAAAATAACACACCCTCAACGTTGAAAGTAGACCTAGCCATTCCTCTAAATCTGGGTCCTGAATACGTGGACGGACAATTGGGGATTGCGCGATCAGTGGAGAGACCGCGCTGTGTGTGGGGGATAAAAAGAACGAACGGACTGAATCTGGACTAGGGATGTGCATGCACAGATTTGCGAACGAACGTTCGATACGTACATCATGTAACACTGCACTTGTACCGTTAAGGGGCGCAGCTAGACTTAAGTGGGGAAACTGAATTCAGACAAGGATTAAAAGTAGTCTTCTTTATCTAATAATTTAATGAAACAGCAAAGGCTCCCTGCTTCGCGCTTCGCGCGGGAGGAGGGGGGGGGGGGAAACTGAATTCAGACTAGGATTAGAAGTAGAGAACGGTACAACGAATCGTCTTCTTTATCTAATAATATAATGCCAATGAAACGGCAAAGCTTCCGTGCTTCACGCGGGAGGGGGTGGGGGTGGGGGGGGGGGGCAACTGAATTCAGAAAAGGACACGATACAACCAATCGTCTTCTTTCTCTAATTATTAATTTTAATGAAACGTGAAAGGGATGGGCGAAAATGAATTCAGACACTGATTAAGAGCAATAATTTAATGAAACGTTAAAGCTTCCGCGCTTCACACGGGAGTGGGGTAAACTGAATTCAGACAAGGACACGATACAACCAATGCAACGAATTGTCTTCTTTCTCTAATAGTTTAATGAAAGGTGAAAGCTTCCGCGCTTCGCGCGTGATGGGCGAAAATGAGTCAGACAATGATTAAGAATAATAATTTAATGAGACGTCAAAGCTTCCGCGCTTCGCGTGGGAGGGGGAAACTGAATTTAAACAAGGACATGATACAACGAATCGTCTACTTTCTCTAGTAATTTAATGAAACGTGAAAGGGATGAGCGAAAATGAATTCAGACAAGGATTAAGAGTAACAATTTAATGAAAGGTCAAAACTTACGCGCTTCACGCGGGAGGGGGGAACGGAATTCAGACCAGGACACGATACAACGAATCGTCTACTTTCTCTAGTAATTTAATGAAACGTGAAAGGGATGGGCGAAAATGAATTCAGACACGGATTAAGAGTAATAATTTATTGAAACGTCAAAGCTTCCGCGCTTCACGCGGGAGGGGGGGGGGGAACTGAATTCAGACAAGGATTAAAAGTCGAGAACGGTACAATGAATCGTCTTTTTTCTCTAATTATTAAATGAAACCTCGTAGCTTCTGTGCTTCACGCGGGAGGGGCGAAACCGAAACAAGAATTAAGAGTCGAGAACGTTACAACGGATCGTCTTTTTTCTCTAATAATTTAATGAAGTGTGAAAAAAGAAAATAACTTAGTTCCTGGCCCGGGCTTATAGGGTTAAATTTGTAGACATTCGGAAATTTGGCATAAATATATTTGTCGGTAATTAATTGGTGGCTAGTTTTGTTGGTAATTGATGGCTTCTACACCCCCCCCCCCCCCTCCCCCACTGAAAAAGGTCTGGCCACGCCCCTGATAACAACACAGTTTATACACTCACCGTCTTTGTGCATTATGCAGCAA